TAAACCGATTTCTACCCCATCTTCCCCAATAGAACTAATTTCCTGCACACAAATTAACCAACTCTTATGACTAAGACTCCTAAAAAGAAAAAAAAAGTACCAAACTCCAAATACCTAACCACTTCGAAACTGATTTCGTATAACCCAAAAGTAGACTACGGTGATCGCAAAGAAGCCGAAATTGCATAAACGGAAATACAATTCAAAAATATGAAGCGAAATAACGATCAAGGAGAGAAAGAGATTACATGATAGGGACAGAATATGAAATCTCCGGCCAGAAGCGGTCAACAAAGGCGTTGAGATTGGAGAGCGCGTGCAACTTCAGCGCCGGATCGCTTTCGTTAAGCATCGCCAGTATCCCTCCGGCGGAGCTCACAAGCGTCGCCGCCGCGGCCATTGTTGATCAATTTAAGCTCTCGGTGTAACTAGATACGGGTCAGGGTTTGTGGAGGGAAAGCAAAAGCGGTTTCAAATGTTTGTGGAGAGAGAAAGGGGGAATTTTCAATCACAGCTGAAAACTGAAAAGTGCCGTTTTGTTATTTTATTTATTTATTTATTTATTTTTATTAATGAATGGCTATTTTTTTAAGTTTAATCAACTCTTTAAAATCCATTTAATTGTCTGATAAAATCCCATAATATTAGTTAAGAAAATGGAATAATCTATGATCTACCATACCACCGCCGCCGCCGCCGCCCACGCCGTTGCTGCGATTATTCGGTTTCGGCGAGATTGCATCGGCATTTTTGGATTATAGGCTGCCAGACCTGGGATTAGGCTTCGGTTAAAGTAGGATGGATTGGTGGGGTACACGGTGTTCCGGATCTAACTTGGAGTCGCCGCCGTTGCCAACAAATATAGGTGATGCAGGCGCAGGCAATAGAGGGGTAGGGGCCGATGACGCTAACAGTGAATAGTGACTTTTGAATTCTCACACGTGACACGAGGATGCATGGTGGATTACGTTAGAGAGGTGGGGGTCGACGGTGCTTACAGTAAATAGTGGATTTTAAACCCTCACTTTGACAATGAATTGTGGGTTTTACGTTATTTTTTTTATAGTGGATTCTACGTTAATTTTTTTACATTGAATGCCAATAATTTTTATTTTAACGTGTTTGTAGTGGATTTCAATTTTTAGTTAACCGCAAGAATTTTATTTTTTTAAACTGAAATAGAAACAAATATTTTAGTCCAAAAATATTATTATAATGTGTACAAATTACTTTATTTTCAAATGAAAAAATATAAATAATATATTAAATAAACTAAAAATACTTTTTCATCTTGATATAATATTTGAGTATTTTTTGTAAATAAAATGAAGTGTAATAAAATATTTTAAAGAAACCGGTATACAAAAGTTTCAAGTTTTCCCCCCTTAATATATAATATAAGAAAAGGTTCTTATTTTTTGTAAACAAAAATAATTAATAATTGAGATAGAAAGAATAACGATATATATATATATATATATATATATATATATATATATATATATATAA